AAAAAAACAATCATTGCAATGCCTTTGCAACACCATTGAAATATCCTTTTAGTAAAAATGATGAAAATGCACTACTCATTGCTTCCTTTCTTCCCCAGATGTATATCAGTGTGTGATGTGTCCAGAAGACATGTATGCCAATGCAGATCACAGCCAGTGTTTTCACAAAGTTGTGGTATTTCTGAACTATGAAGAGCCCTTGGGGATGACTCTAGCCTTAATGGCCTTGTGCTTCTCCACATTTACGTCTGTGGTACTTGGGGTCTTTGTGAAACATCGTGATACTCCCATTGTGAAGGCCAATAACCGTAATCTCAGCTACACCTTGCTTATCTCACTCATCTTTTGTTTCCTGTGTCCCATGCTCTTTATAGGCCATCCCAATGTAGCTACATGCATCCTGCAGCAAATCACTTTTGGACTGGTATTCACGGTGGCCGTTTCCACTGTTTTGGCCAAAACAGTTACTGTGCTTATGGCTTTCAAAGTCACAGCCCCTGGAAAAAGAATGAGGTACTTCCTCATTTCAGGGGCAGCCAATTATATCATTGTCATTTGTACCCTCTTCCAAATTTTCCTCTGTTTAATCTGGCTTGGATTTTCTCCTCCATCTATTGACACTGATGCACACACTGAACATGGCCAAATCATCATCGTGTGTGACAAGGGATCAGTCACAGCATTCTACTGTGTCTTGGGATACCATGGCATCCTTGCCTTTGGAACATTCCTTTTGGCTTTCTTGGCAAGGAATCTTCCTGACACATTCAATGAAGCCAAGTTTCTGACATTCAGCATGCTGTTGTTCTGCAGTGTCTGGATCACTTTCCTCCCTGTCTACCATAGCACCAAGGGCAAGGTCATGGTGGCTGTGGAGGTCTTGTCTATCTTGGCCTCCAGTGCAGGATTGCTGGGATGCATCTTTGTCCCCAAGTGCTACATAATTTTGTTAAGACCAGAGAGAAATTCTCTTCAAAAGTTAAAGGAGAAAACATCTTTGTGACCCAACAATTTCTAACCTGAAACTGACACCTGTAGGGTTGGTACAGACACACCTATTATGATGCAATGCAAGATATATGCATTACCTAGTGACTCTCACTGTTCCTTCTAATGATGATCCCTAGAATTATCATATATACCACTTTTCTGGATTTTGTCTCCTATAATCTTCCACACAACCACTTATTTTTCAAGACCTCAATATTTGTCATTAATTCCTACTAGAAGTCATCCCCTCTTCTCATATTCAGTATGATTTGTAATAAATTATGTTCTTCTTTTGATGTCTGAGTGAATGTGTTACTCTGATAGACCTCAATTACTGAGACTAAGCAATGTGTGGTGTTTTCATAATTCCCTCCCCACTGCCTGCCTTCTTTCCCAGATCCACTATGCCTCCATCACGCCTTAAAAAACCATACTCTAGGTGACAATCTTACACATGGCAAAACAATATATAGTAAAACAAGGCAAAAGAATATTTTTTAAAACAATTTCTGGGCAATTTGATTTTCCTCATTAGTGAATTGTAGGTCTAGATCTGCATACCATTTTAAAATTAAATTACTATTTGCTCATACCTAGACTCTTGATGTCTTCTTATGTTTTCAGTATTGGCCTTCTATCAGATCTGGAGTTGGAAAAATACCTTAGGTTGCCTCTTTGTCTCAAAGATAGTGTATTTTGCTTAGAGGTACTTCAAAGTTTCATGAGGGCCTATTTCTTACTTCTTGATCCTATTGTGTATAATAATGGTGATCTTTTCAGAAATTCTTCTCTCATTCAAACGACATTAAGGCTTCTCCCTATTGTCACTTCTGCCTAGTTTAGTTTACCTGGTTTAAAGTTCAGTCCTTTGATTGATTTGGTCTTGAAGTTTTGGAGGGTAATCAGCATGGATCTACTTACATTCTTCTCTATGCAAACATCCACTAAAGCCAGCACTATGAGTTGAAGATGCCATATATTTCCAACTTTGACTCTCTGCCTTCTCTATCAGAATAAGGTATCCATTAAAACAACGAATTTGGAGGCCAGTCCCATGTCTGAACCAGGGAATGTGATAAAATCCAGGAAGGTGTTAATAGCTTAGGTACAGTTCTTTTAACAAATATTTAAATAAAAAAATCTTGTTTTACATACCAATCTCAGTTCCCTCTCCTTAATATCCTTCTATGCTATCAGTCCTATGGTGGCTCCCCAGCTGTCAGCCTGGAGTCTATGAGCTCCCCCCAACTTAGTTCAGCAGTTTCCATGGGTTTCCAAAGCATATTCTTGACCCCTTTGCTCATCACTCCTCCCTCTCTACAACTACATTCCAGGATTTCAGCTCAGTGATCAGCTGTGAATTTCTGCAACTGGGTGAACGCTCTATGATGGCATTTAAAGTAGTCATCAATCTCATTACATGGGAAGGGCATTTCAGCTAGCCTCTCCACTATTGCTTAGATTATTAATTTTGGCCGTCCTTGTGGATCACTGAAGAGTTCCCTAGTGCCAGATTTCTCCTCTATTAAGGTATTTCTTTTCTTTCTCTCCTTGTCTATTCTTCCCCAAACTCTGTCTTCCTGATGCCTCATGCTCTCCTTCCCTCTCCCCTTCTCCCCTTCTCTTATTCATAACTTCCTCCCCCACACTCCAAATTTGCTAATGAGATTTTGTCTTGTTCCCCTTCTTGACATGACCATGATGTCTCTCTTAGGGGCCCTACTTGTTTCCTACTTTCTCTGGGTTTGTGGAGTGTACACTGGTTTTCCTTTTTTCTATGTCTAACATCCATTTATGAGTGAGTACACATCATGTTTGTTTTACTGTATCTGGGAGATGGGTAAGGCAATTTGCCTCACTCATGGAGAAACTGTGTTTGCAAGAGTGTGTGCTATTTCTTGCCTTTATGGCTTCTTATTTAACCTTCCTGAACTAGTATTTCAGAATGCTTTGAGCTTCTTAGACATGGTGCATGAAACACTAGTTCAAACACACCCAATACACAGAGAGGCACCAGGGCACAGAATCTTGTTCTGACTCCATCTGTTGTCCTAGGTACAGAGGAGAGTTCCCCTTTGTGTGTGAAAATTCCCTCCTAGATTGGAAGCATTGCCCTGTCTATGCTGTGATTTGAAGGAATATGCATCAATTTAATAAAAGGTGACAGTCTGTGAAGAAGTAATTAGAGAAAGCCTGCTAAGATGTATAGAGTCAAAAAGAGAAATGAATACACAATCAGTGGGAGTTGTTATATATTCACGTTTTATACATATCACCATAATTCGAAGTGTACTTTGATACACTGACTGCAAATTGCTTGTTCTGCATGACACTTGGAGTAGGGTTATAGAATGGGACTCTGAGATAATAACTTATCATGTAACAAACTTGTATTGTACAATCATGAAAAGTTACATAGAGAGTAAAGAATTTGGATTTCTTCAGAGTAAAATCATATACCATAAAAGCATGATAAATTCATGAATTGTCTTAAGAGCTTCAGAAACAAAGCTCTATATTGATAGAGTTTTACTGTATTGAATGTCAAATCTAAAAAAATGTTTAAGAACGTTTTAAATGTTTAAGATGATTCAAATCTGTTTGTCAGTACCCATCGTTGATAGAGTAAGTGAATATTTTTGAAATCCAGTTGTCAAATTGATAAAATCTGTGAATTTTCCATGTGGAGGAAATCCCAAATTTGACTTCATTTCCTCAGCAAATGAAATAAAAACACAAAAGTATTAGTGAATGCAAGAGGAAGAGTCAAAATGTGGATTATATTTCAACATGAAAAATAATGGATACAGATTTAAGGCAGCCTAATAACTTGACTGAAAGAAATAGGAGTTTATAGGAACAAATGCTGTTTTATAACTTCATGTGTGAGCGTTCAGATGGGGAAGAACAATCATGCTTCAAAGTTCTTTAATTTAAGAAACAAGGGAGCTAGGCTTTACGGGTTTTCCTCCTATCCTATGTTTTGTCCCTGATGTGATGTAGTGAGTTCCTTTCTGGCCTTAAGAGTATGATATAGCACTTTGGGGCAAAGATGATGACTAAAAGTGATGTACTGGAAGCCAAGATAGAGAGGACTTCCATAGCCACCATGATCTTCCCCTTGGTGCTATGATAGACAGGGAGGAAGCTCACCCAGACACTGCAGAACACCAGCATGCTGAAAGCCAGGAACTTGGCTTCATTGAATGTGTCAGGCAGATTCCTGGACAAGAATGCCATAAGGTAGCTCCCTAGGGCCTGTGTTCCCAGAATATGTCCATGCTCTGAGTGAGCATCTTTGTCAATAAATGGAGGAGAGGTTGCCAGCCAAACTCCAGAGAGAACAACTTGCAGCAGGGTGCAGATGGGAATGATGAAATTAGGGAGCCTGGACGTCAGCAGCCACCTCCTCATTCTCCCTGGAGTGGTGACCCTGAAGGCTATAAGTACAGTGAGAGTTTTGGCCAGCACAGTGGAAAGCGCCACAGTGAACAGCAGTCCAAATGTGTTCTGCTGCAGGATACAGGTGACTTTGCCAGGATGACCGATGAAGAGTAAGGGACAGAGGAAACACAGGGTCAGAGTGATGAGCAGGGTGTAACTGAGAGCCCTGTTATTGGCCTTGACAATGGGAGTGTCTCTGTGTTTCAGAAACACCCAGAACACAACAATTGTGAGAGAGGTGAAGCCCAGGGAGATGAAGCTGAGTGTCTTCCCCAAGGGGTCATCATAGGCCAGGAATGTCACTCTTTTCTGTAAGCAGTAGTTCTTCTTTGTATTTGCATAGTGAGTTTCTGGACATGTCACACACCGATCTACATCTGGCAGAAATGCAGTTGATCCTGAGTGGTTATACAGATTTTTCTTTTTATCCTAAGTTAGATTCTAGCTCTAGAACATTGCAATGTTATCTGGACCATTTGCTTTGTTTCAGATACAAATATTAAACGATTTTCTAGAGAAAATAGTTAAACTCAATTTTCCTTCTACTTCATAAATATGGGAAAATGGTCTCAATTCTTCCTCTGTTGTTTCTCATATGGTCTCCTTGCCCTTAGTAATACTGCTGTATCAGTTTTGTAAGTCAGAGCATTTAAATACACTGTGTGGACCTAATTTGACATTTAAATTACCTTTTCATCAATGTATCTCCATTCTTAAGAGTGCATAGGATTTCAGTGTAATTGACAGAATACCCTTTGAGATGCTTATCTTAAATTTTGTTCTCTTATATGCATCCCAAATGTACCTACAGTGGTAAAGTCCCTGGTGTTCTTTATTTCCTGATTCTCTGATGGAGTCTGAGTGAATTAGTATTCTTAAATCCTTGTACCTTGAAACACTTCATCAGTGCCAGTGTTCTCTCATAATTCTGTAAAATAATAACTATGTAATGAATAGATACAGAACTTCTCATATATTCTAAAGTCCTCAATGAACAGTGTTTGAACACTCTGTTCCTGATAGCTTATAAATTAACTCTTAGATTATCATGCATACTTATGAATTTTCATGTCATATTTTCAATATATTAATAATTTCCATAACTCTATATATACATTCTAATTCTCAAAGTGTAATTAATCTTCTTCATACAGTCACATTTCCATTCATAATCCCTATAAAATATATTCTGATCATGATTTTTCCCTCCCCAATTCTTGTCAGATGTTCCCCACCCCCTTACCTACCATATGGGTGCTCAGATCTGAACTTTGATACCCTAGAAGAACAGACAGTGCTCTTAAATTTGGAGCTACCTCTCAAGCCCTATCATTATTTTCATGTCTCTTTCCTCCACTATTACCCCTTTCTTCTGTTTTTGTAAGATTTATGTTGACTTTAATGTCCTAGCTCAAAATAAATGCTTCATATCTCCTTTTAATGAAAGCATATAATATACAAGGTATTCAAATTAATTTAAATAGAATCAAATATTTTCCTTTAAGGTTTAGTGATGGGGGATGCCCTCTGTATATATGTTTCTGTTATTGGTTGATGAATAAAACACTGTGGCCAATAAAGGCAGGAAGTTAGGTGGGGTGAGGAGATGAAGAGAATTCTGGGAAAGGTAGGTACACAGTCTCCATGTGGTCAACAAAGTTGTAGAAGGTCCAGATTCTTCGGTAAAGCAAGACCATATGGAAATACATAGATGAATAGAAATGGGTGAATAAGTAAGACAAAGCTAGGCAATAAAAAGCCCTAGTCATCTGCTTACAGTTTTCTAATTAATATAGGACTTTGTGTGCCTCTTTGCGACAAGGCAGCTGCGGGACCAGTCAGGACCCAAGAAATTCTAGCAATAGTTTAGGTTAGATGATTCTACAGTATTTGAATGAGTAACTTATTTAAGTGTATATTATTTGTGTGTTATTATCATTCTTGCCCTACATTTTCTCTTAAAGTCTAGTTATTAACCATGACCACATATGGGATTTGGCTGTGGTGGGTGAAGCGCTTCTCCTTTGTACAAATGAAAGAAGCACATGAACCCAGTATAATGTGAGTGTCTGTACGTCATTTGTATCCTAGGTAATGAAGAGGTGTTTCATTTTCCCAGCCTTAATATATATCCTAAAAGAATTAGATCTTTGTATAAAGCTTCTAAGTATATAAACACAAAATAAAATTTAGAAAGTCACTATTATAAAGGTAAGGCGTGTTAATCCATGAGGCTTTTTTCTAGATGGTAAATATTTAATTAAGATATTCCAGGAATAAATAAAAAATATTACTCATAAAAACTTAGCATGGTATGTATGTATAGGATTTCTATTCTTATTCCACTTAATGACTCAATTACACTCATATGCAATGGATTTAGGTTTTATTTTTAATCTATGTATCATTTTTCTCTGTATCATCTATGTATTTATTCAAGGAATAAAACACAACCTCTCTGACCTACTC